CTCTTCAAAACTCGATAAAACTCTGTAAAACATAGTATAAGTTTATAAAAACACTGTAAAATTGAGTTTTACAGCTTCACAGTGTTTTACCCTAACCCTTGAAAGTTCAACCCTAACCCTTAGGGGTTTCACAGGGTTCATAGAAATGTACATTTTATAGAATTTCATAGAGTTATACAGAGTTCTATAGGATTTATAGAGTTTGTTAGAGCGAGTTTGTTCGTCAGCAACAGTAAATATCAAACTTTTGAGAAACAATGTCATATTCGACAACTATATTTCAAGAGTTCAACAGAATTGTATTGAGTATTATAAATTTTTATAGAATTTAATATTTTTCAAACTTTCCAGAAACAATTTTATCGTCAACATTATACAAAACACTTCAGAAACTAACTTTGAAACTCTTCAGAAACAATTTTCTCATCAAGCCCTTCAGCAACTATTTTCATTGCAATGATATTTCAATTTCCTTAGGAACAACAGCAAGCGATCTTTCTAAACAATGGTTCACTCGTCAGCAACTGTAAATAAATATCAAACTATTATGAATAATGTCATATTCCATAACTATATTTCAAACTCATCAAAACAAAACTACAACTTCTTTTCCGAAACAATGGCACATTCTTCAGCAACTATCTTTCAACACTTCACTCACCTTATTAAACTCCATAAGACTCTATTAAAGCTTAAATTTAAAACTTATCAAACGCAACTTAATACCGCAACCGAATGTTTCTATATTAAATTAAACTATTATAATAAATTAAATTAATATTAAATTAAAAACTAAATTTAAACTAAACTTAAAACAAAATCATAAACGACTAAAACTAGAGCTTTTCAGTCTGTATTTATAGGCTTCTTTCCATACATTCTCATCAGCGTATATGCCAAGTCATTAATTAAATAATGAAAAACTATAAACACATATTTTAAGACCTCCTTTTAACGCTGATTGGATTGAAACGAAGAATCACGCCATAATGCTGTTAGTTTGTAGGAAGTATNAATTTTGACATCCT